TTAAAGTAACTGCATTGCTTTAGCTGATGGAACACAAATTTGTTGGCGAATTCAGCAAAATGGCTGATCATTCTCAGATGTGCAACTACGCCACCATTATTGCCGAGGTGAGTTTTAGGAAAACTCAATTATCACGTTTCATTTGAGTGGATTTTTTTTGACATTCATATGAGAGAACTTATTTGTTCAATCTTGATCTTTATTCAGGCTGCTGAAGGCACTGGTTTGGCTTTTGTCGTATTCACGGAAGCAATTTTGAGATTCCCATTTCCGCCGGCATGGTCCGTCCTCTTCTTTCTAATGCTTCTTTCACTTGGTCTTGGAAGCATGTTTGGTTAGCAAATATTTTCGAGCTTAATAGATTATTGCTCATTGATATCACAAAAACTTATTCAGGTACTCTTGAGGGTGTGATAACTTCACTCAATGACTCGCATCTTATTACGGTAACCAAGCCGGTTCTAACTGGCATATTGTGTGCTTCAGCGTGCCTCATTGGTTTACTATTTTCCACGAGAGCTGGACAGGTACTAGTACCCTCAGTTATATAACGTTATTAAAGGGATTTCTCAAATTCTATTTAGTATTGGGTCGCACTATTCGATTCGTTTGCTGGTTCCTATGCTCTCATGTGCGTCGCATTCTTTGAAGTGATCGCTGTTGTTTACGTTTATGGATATCGACGGTAATTTTTTGAAGTTTTGTCGGCAATTCGGCCATCATAATAACTTCTATTCCAGCTTTTCCCGTGATCTTGAATTCATGACCGGTTCTACCCCAGGTCAGTACTGGCTGATCACTTGGCGATTTGTCGCCCCAATCATTATGGCTGTGCTATTTACCTGCAGCGTTGTGCAATGCTTCTCTAAATCTACCACTTACTATGCCTACAATCGGGAAACGGTAATTGCAATTCCTTTTTCTTTGTCTCTTTCTTGTTTAGAAAATCAAACTTTTTTGTGCCTGTAGATCTAATTAAGGAGGTCCTTGATCTCAGTAATAAAGAGCACAAACTTTTTACAGACGAAGCAGCAAGAAACAGAATATCCTATATGGGCAATGTTTATCGCACTTCTTATGGTCCTTCTCGCTATCTTACCAACGTTCAGCGTATGGTTCCTACGCTACTTCAAGATCTGGAAGCTCGAAGCTGACATTCCTGCGGTAAACTTTATCGTTCTAGGT